GCAGCCAATTGAAAATCACTGAACGTTAATGTAGAAATCAACAAGATGTAACCAAAATAACAAAACTAAAAGCTCACCCTTGTCAAGACCTGCTGGAAGAGGATCAACCACAACTGTAGGAATCTCGTCCATTAGGTTGTCGGGATTTCCAGAGTGCAAAATCCTCGTAAATCCACCCATCTCTGACCCAGGCTGGTCCCTCATCTTCTTATACCAGTAGTACATAATACGGCACTGCCATTTCTGTAGGGTGCATCTGTAGCCGTTAATGCAACTGGAAGGGTAACTTCACATTCTTCAGTCTCTTCACATTTTCAGGCATCTCAACCACAGGATCAAAAAAAATGCCACCATTAGAATCCTCAGTCATCCAATTTCTAATAGATCTATTGTGAACTTATCATTGTTAGCAAATTATACGTTGCAAAGGCAAACCCAAAAATCAAAAGAACCACCAGTATTGGTGAAGCACGTCCCATGTTCTTTCTACTAATCATATACAAAACTAATTCACAACCTCATATTCCGCAAATTATAAAACTATATCTCCTGATAAAAAATTCCACAGCCATAAATCCTATTAAACTCTTCGAGTTCACAGTTCAAAAAGGCAGCATAGCCAGCTCCTCAAAACACAAATTTGATATGATAAAACTTCCAGTCAACTCATTAAACAACCTGCATAAGAATCAACTCCAAAATCAACTTGATGCGGTTTTAATTCGAGGCATAAATGGATCATAAAAAGCAATAAGAAGTCAAAAGCAGTAATTTCTGTCAATCTACATAGTCCAATTTCTAAAATATATAGTATAAATCCCACAAAAATGCAAGTTTCGACAAAAATCAGTCCAAGAATGGAAACAAATACATAAAAGTTCAAAACAGATCAAAACAAAGAGTGAGAAAAACAAAATTAGACCCATAATTGTCATCAATAGATAAAAATATTCAAAATATTAAAATCCCTATTCACTAATCCAAAACATAATGCAGCACCACAAGCTAAAAACCAATTACACAATTACAAGCTACAAAAATTAAAAATTAAATCTGTGCAAGCAATCTAGCACAAAACAAAATACTAATATATGAGTAATTCACAGTAACACAAGAAAAACCAAGTCACTAACTGTGAATAATTCAGATCAAATGAACAAAACAAACTAACTGTCCAAATTTTCATAAATAATAAATCAAAAACTACAAAGAAAACTGATTGAATCCCGAAAAGAATTAAAAAAAAAAAAATTGGGTATGGAAAAAAATGAAAATTGAAGGAAATGGGGGTGGAAAAATGAGGAAATGAATGTGAGAGTGGCGTCAGTGAACAGAGTTACTGTACAAAAGCATGAAAAAATCAAGAATGGAGAAGAAAAAAGGGAAATTTAGAGCGAAGATTACACGTAAGAGTGGGAGAGCTTACGGGACTGACATTAACAGAATGTTGCAACAGAAATGAGGATAGTTTCGTTGATTTGGATCGAGAAAGAGAGAGAGAGAGAGAGAGAGAAGAGTTTCAGTTCTTTCTCATTTGTCTCCTTCGGGCAAAGTCAAAATTTATTATTTTTTTTCATTTTTTTTTCAAGTTAATCACATAATTTCCCCAAAGTATAATATGATGACCAAAATTCTTCTAAATTTAAAAAATAACAAATACCACTACAATCAATTTTAGAATTAAAATAAACGATAGAATGATAATTTAGTAATATTTATTAACTCTTAACAATATAAATTTGAGTGACTCATTAACAGTTTATTAACGATTACAGAATTTCTATTATTTCGGAAACTTAAAAAGACTTTTATTATTATTTTACCTCAAAGAGATTATGTTATTTATCTCTTTTTTCCATGTTTAATACTACTCCCCTCCGTTTTTATATAAGTGTCGTTTTAAGGGTAATAATTGTTTCAAATAAGCGACGTTCTCTTCTTTCAATGATCCACTTCTTCATTCTTCAGTCTTCCCGTCATCTCCTCTCTCCATTTTTCTCTACCCTGCCCCACACTCCTCTCTCTCTTTTTTATCTTTCCCTTCCCCTCTCCTCTCTTTCACATTGTCTCTCTCTTAATTATTTTCACTGTCTCACACACGTTTTGCAAGTGAAACACAAAATTTTTTCACCGAAAAAGTCAATTCTCTGCACACTTTTTTATTCCTTAAAAACTGTGTAAAAACTCAAAACGACACTTATATTAGTTATATAGAACGGAGGGAGTATATAAGTTAATTAATCCCTAATGTATGATTAACAAACTCTTTCTAATGTTTACGAAAACTATAAATATCGGCTTGTCATTAAGTTTCAGAGTTAAAACAAAAACGATAAAGGATAATGGTAATATTTACTAACTCATTAAGAGTACATTTTAACCGGTAACTAATGGTTTATTAACTATATGGTAACTTTTGTTATTTCAGAATTATTAGGATGATTTTTGTTATTATATCATCACTAGGGGGGCTCTATGCGTGTTTTGACTCTAATAATTAATGCCACCCGTCTAAGTTAAGTTTCTAACATTAGTTCCTTTTTAATTTCGATTTTGTTTTAATACCTGTTATAGAGGATTTTTTTTTTTTTAATAATTAAATTGATTATTATTTAATTTAGCCATTTAATTTTAGATTGTTTTTCGATATTCCCAAGTACATATGGATTCTATTTAGGAACATCCAATATCATGCTTCCACTTTAATATCTAATTTTTATAAACTAACAGAGTACAACCTCATCCCTTATTAAAATGAGGAGGAAATCTTGACATTTTTGTGAAACTTCGATTATTTAACATTTTCGAAACCACAAGAAGGTTTTGGTAATATCTGTTTCTAATCTATCCTATTGTAATAACTTCATTTTAAACATGCAAAATGTGAATTGAACCTATATTTTTTTTTAGTTCTCTTGATGATTGAAATTTTTGAAATTGTTATGAGGATAATGAAAAGAATCACATGATGATAAGGATTATATTTTCTTAATAAAATGTAGGTGTGATAATGTGCTAATTGATAATAAACATTGTTCCACTTCCATAATTGGATTTTAAATTTTAATCATTTTATATACCAAACTAAAATAACTTCTAAAACAAGTACATTGCAATTGAGTAATAAAATGATTTATCACCTACTAAACCAATATCAAATTCAATTGCATAACTATAATTTTGACCTATTTTGATTCATGCCCACAACAATTATATAATAAATATAGGTTTAATACAATAATCCCCTGTGGTAGAGAAATAACAGATATCCCTACCGTTGATTTTTGAGTGTTAAAATAAACAGTATAAGACAATTAAGTAATATTCTTCAATTGTTACGTTATAAATTCTAGAACAATACATTACCGGTTAACTAATGGTAGAGAAATATTTGTTATTTCTGAAATTTGTGGATGATTTTGTTAGTTGATTAAACGTCAGGGGTTGAAAAAACCCCATAAATTTACAATTTTGATTTAAAAGTATTACTATAAATATTTCTTTGCATAGAAGTTAAGAGCTTCCTTTTATTAAATTTTAAAATCAATTTCTTTGTCTTGAATAATGAAGGTTCCTTCCAATGGGAAACAAACCCAAAATATTCTACGGAAAACCCCTCACTTTTTATCTTATTAAACCCCATTTCTAAATTGATCCCACTAAAATAATTAATAATATCTAATTTTCTAAAGGAACCCACTAATGTCCAAAATTACCCTTATATCTCCACTAATTTGTTCGTATTTCTCATGAATTTTACTAGGATTTTTTTTTTTCATTTAATTGTCTTTTCTTCTTGCTAAAATAATTAAAAAAAAATAGTTTAACTAAAATTATTCATAAAATTATAATTTTATGTAAACCCATAAATTACATAATTTAATATTATTGTTGTTAAATTCATATGGTTTAGTGTTATAGATTTACTACATTATGATAAAATAAAAGATTAAAATGTAATCCAAACGATTAAGCTTCATATTCTTAAAAAACATTTTACATTATCAATTAAGGAGAGGAAATGATATATTAATCATTCAACAATTCTTCAGTTTCAAATTGATTTTTTTTTTTCAACAGTCCTATTTAGTAATTTTAATATAAGTATGAAATTGTCATTAAGAAAAAAATAGTCATTGGGATCTCATAAGATAATAGGTGGGAGACTGGGAGGCAGATAGCATCACCCATTTTATTTTAATTTGGATTCGATTAGTAAATTTAGGAATAAATATGGCTCAGCATATTGAATACCATATTTGAAGACTTAGGGCTCCGTTTGTTTAGTTTTTTAGAATAATATTCTATTCTGAATAGGATTTAATCAAACATGATAAGATTCTGAGAATGTGTTTGGTAAAATTTTTAAAAATAATTTTTTATTATTTTTTAACCTCCTACATTTGTTAATTTTACTAAACACCCCATACAATAAAAGTTTATAAATTAACAAAAACACTCCCACCCATCCAATAATGTCGTTGGAATGACGTACGACCGGATGAATTTGACCGATTGTATGCCAATCTAGCATTTTCTAGCAAGATCCACCATGAATCTGCTCGCAAATAGCCAGATCTACGGGCAAAGATCTGACTGTTGACAATGACCATATCTTAGCTGTCGTTGACGACTAGATCTTTGGTTGTAGATTTGACTGAAAACGAACAAATTGACATACGATCGACCAAATCCAACAAGTCGTGCGTCGTTACAACAACGATGATCAATGATGGCAACAGCGACAACCAGCAGTGGCAACGGGGACAACGACTGCTGGTGAGTGTTAGTGGCTTGGGTGGATGAAAGTATTTTTATTAATTTTAAAACTTTTATTGAGAAAAGTAATTGTTAATGTTTTGAGTTGAATAGAATGTGATTGGATTTTGAAGAATATTAAACAAACAAATTTTTTTAGGATAGTGTTAAAATAGGGAAAAAAACCTTGCTTTCTGATATATTTTAATTGCTCTATATCTTAATATAAAATAAGTTAATCTGAGGTCTGTGTACATCAATCTGTCTTGCAAACCTAAACTGATCAAAAAATTTCTTCACCCAGCGTTGCAACCTTCAACACAGCCAACTTCTACTCAGTTTCCCAATTGGGAATGTTAGCTGTAGCCTCATTCACCATCTTTACAAGAGTCACCTGCAGTTATCACAACAAACTCAAATTAAATTACATAAATTGATATTATACTTATTCATGCATAAAGTCGATCTTCTCGGTTATATAAATCGTGGGTACTACAAGTTTAGCTGGCTGGATATCTCTAAAATTTTATACAATTTTGAGATGTTTGAGTTCAAATCCTGCTCACAATGAGCAATAAACCATGGAAACAACAAATTAGGAAGAAAGAAATGCAAATTTTATCACCCTCCAGAATAGAGACATTAAGAAAACATCAGTACTTTGGGACTAGATAAAAATAAAAACGGTTAGAAAACTTTCAGGTTTGCTGTAACAGAAACCGGAAAAGAAAAAGAAGGGAAAGACACAATTATTAAAAGAGTTTCAAGGAATTGATAATTTGTTACACATGGAAACTTAAAGAATGGTAAAAGGAAAGCATCTCCCAATTTTGCACTAGTTGGGTCAAGAAAAGAGAGCTGTGCAGTCAGTAACTCCAGAATTTTTCCACATTCAAACAAGGGAGATAGGACACAGCTCGAAATTTAAGATACCAAGAGCACTGTATGAAGATCATATGCAACCGGTTTTCCAGTTAAAACCATCATCTTAAACTTCATCAAGCCAAACGCATATATCACTTTGCAGTCAAGGAATGTATAGGAAGATTGATAAAAATGTGGATTAAAACTGAATTATTTATTGCAGTTTAGTGTTGAAATAATGATAGGTACATATACATACCACACTTTCAGGGACCCCTGCCGGTGGCAAGGGGAGATTTTTTGGTGGAGGTCCACGTAAATATGATCTCTTATCAAATCGCCACTCTCCAATTTTACCATATGTTAGCTCACCCTGAACATTGAGCAAGTTTTGATGAGTAACCATGCAACCAAAACAGATTAAAGGGAGCAAGCATAAGCTCCCGAAGAACAACAGAAGAAAAGTGAACTTTAGAAACTATCCAAAGAAAAAAAAGGCAAACAAAAACCATATCTTTTTCCAAAGCAAATTTTTAATGTGTAACAAAACCGAAAAAACATTGTCAAAATATAATAGCAAGAAATGAAAAACTAATTTTTCCCTAGTCAAAATAAAAACAGAAAAATGCAACTTCACCTTCATGTTATAATCACATCCGTAAGTGTAATGAAGAATGAACTTTTTCCCAGTTTCAAGATCCCATGGGGGCTGAAAAATATGTATAATAATTACTAAGAACAGATCCAATTTAAAACACTGAAAATAGCCATAAGGTTAATTTTGAAGAGCTTAACAATTTTAGTTCCAAACCTGAAGCATAAAGTCCTTACGAAGAATATGCTGCACACCATGCAAAGCTGATGCTACAGCATAAGCATACCTTAGCTCAACCAGTAAAAAAGGAGAGTCAAAAACTCATAAACAAATAACTTGAAAGTATGGAGTAAAAATAAAGTAGCAGTCACTTATTTCATGAGCTTACATTTCTAGCACCCATCCAAAAGCTTTATCAGTCTCCGGGTCATCTTTCATTTTCAAAGAAACATTCATCCATGTAGGAGCAATCTTTTCCAACAAATTCTGAACCAGATAATGTATTCAATAACTACAACTCATAAATGACTATACCATGAACAACAATAATGATGACAGCTACAACAACTATGGTGAAAGCAACAATAAAGATGATGCATAGAAAGCCTGGATAGTAATATGACCAAGATATAAATTTAGTTACCCAAATAAAGTCACCTTTTTAATAATAACAGGAGAATTGCCAATTGGATCAACATTTGTGACTGGGCCATACTCCTCTGGGTAAAACTTTCTTATTATCTTTCCCTTCTCTGCAGGCTTGATGTAGAAGAATGGGAAGGCAGCTGGCAATCCTCCATGTGCCAGTTTCGGGAGGGGATTTACAAATATGTGATCAGGCTCTGCCATCAATATGTATCTACAACAACAAAATGTGCATCACTAATCAGTTAAGTATAATACACCTGATATGTGACCATCAGAGATAAAAAAAAACTCACTCTTCATCAACTGTGGTCTTTTCCAGCCATTGCACAAAGGCCCATGGTCTATTTAAGACTATGTATCCCTGAATATAGATTCAAAAGCATGTCAAAGAAAGTAAAAATAAAATGAATTCTAGAACAAGTATAACGACTGAGACTACCTCCACATGCTCAACGAAATACATTACAATGCATTTTTGCCAATATATAACTTTGACATATCATGTTTGAACTGATATAGGAAGGCGACAAGGAGGTCTTTTAAATTTTAGTCCAATTTGATATCCACTAAATAATACTTTTTTTTTTTTTTTTTTTTTGCAGTTATCGACATCAAAAACAAAACCTCAATAAAATGTTAAACTTATCCACCAGGTTTGGGAGCTAAACAATTTACACAATAGTTTTAGATGTTAAGGAGAACCACGATTTAGTCATTCAAAGCCAGTGCAAAGCCCCACATTCAGCAGCAGGAGAACCTAGGACATTTCATGATGTTACCCTATAGCACTGATACGGGATGGTTACTGTCCCTTGCACTTTCCTAATTTTCCAATTGGAAGATGCTGGGCACTATAAGCCAACAGTCTTAATAATCATTGACTCCAACTTGTGAGATAAATAGAAATAATATTCATAGGCGATGCCGTCTAAGTTGTTTATAGCATCAGTTCAGATAATTACTTTTACATTGTCTCAGTAAGTATAAGAGTACAATGTCACTATTTTAAGATGAAAGCATGAGCCAGCTTACTCTTCCTTGCCTGAAAACTGTCCCCCACCCCATGTGTGTGGTTTTGAAGTCATTCTTTTTTCCAAAAATTCAAAATTCTTTATTTACCTTTCTACACTTTGTCCCAATCCACAAAATTGTGGTCAAGAACTTAAATGACTCAATTTAATAATAGTTGCAGCCAATTGAAAATCACTGAACGTTAATGTAGAAATGCAACAAGATGTAACCAAAATAACAAAACTAAAAAGCTCACCCTGTCAAGACCTGCTGGAAGAGGATCAACCACAACCGTAGGAATCTCATCCATTAGGTTGTCGGGATTTCCAGAGTGCAAAATCCTCGTAAATCCACCCATCTCTGACCCAGGCTGGTCCCTCATCTTCTTATACCAGTAGTACATAATACGACACTGCCATTTGCTGTAGGGTGCATCTGTAGCTGTTAATGCAACATGGAAGGGTAACTTCACATTCTTCAGTCTCTTCACATTTTCAGGCATCTCAACCACAGGATCAAAAAAAATGCCACCATTAGAATCCTCAGTCATCCAATTTCTAATAGATCTATTGTGAATTATCATTGTTAGCAAATTATACGTTGCAAAGGCAAACCCAAAAATCAAAAGAACCACCAGTATTGGTGAAGCACGTCCCATGTTCTTTCTACTAATCATATACAAAAACTAATTCACAACCTCATATTCCGCAAATTATAATAAACTATATCTCCTGATTAAAAAATTCCACAGCCATAAATCCTATTAAACTCTTCGAGTTCACCAGTTCAAAAAGGCAGCATAGCCAGCTCCTCAAAACACAAATTTGATATGATAAAACTTCCAGTCAACTCATTAAACAACCTGCATAAGAATCAACTCCAAAATCAACTTGATGCGGTTTTAATTCGAGGCATAAATGGATCATAAAAAGCAATAAGAAGTCAAAAAGCAGTAATTTCTGTCAATCTACATAGTCCAAATTTCTAAAATATATTAGTATAAATCCCACAAAAATGCAAGTTTCGACAAAATATCAGTCCAAGAAATGGAAACAAATACATAAAAGTTCAAAACAGATCAAAACAAAGAGTGAGAAAAACAAAATTAGACCCCATAATTGTCATCAATCAAGATAAAAATATTCAAAAAATATTAAAATCCCCTATTCACTAATCCAAAACATAATGCAGCACCACAAGCTAAAAACCAATTACACAATTACAAGCTACAAAAAATTAAAAATTAAAAATTACATCTGTGCAAGCAATCTAGCACAAAACAAAAATACTAATATATGAGTAATTCACAGTAAACAAAGAAACAACCAAGTCTAACTAATGTGAATAATTCAGATCAAATGAACAAAACAAACTAATAACTGTTCCAAATTTTACATAAATAAATAAATCAAAAACTACAAAGAAAACTGATTGAATCCCGAAAAGAATTAAAAAAAAAATGAAATTGGGTATGGAAAAAAATGAAAATTGAAGGAAATGGGGGTGGAAAAATGAGGAAATGAATGTGAAAGTGGCGTCAGTGAACAGAGTTACTGTACAAAAGCATGAAAAAATCAAGAATGGAGAAGAAAAAAGGGAAATTTAGAGCGAAGATTACACGTAAAGAGTGAGAGAGCTTACGGGACTGACATTAACAGAATGTTGCAACAGAAATGAGGATAGTTTCGTTTGATTTGGATCGAGAAAAGAGAGAGAGAGAGAGAGAGAGAGAGAGTTTCAGGTCTTTCTCATTTGTCTCCTTCGGGCAAAGTCAAAATTTATTTATTTATTTTCATTTTTTTTCCAAGTTAATCACATTAATTTCCCCAAAGTATAATATGATGACCAAAATTCTTCTAAAATTTAAAAAATAACACAAATACACCTACAATCAAATTTTAAGAATTAAAATAAACGATAGAATGATAATTTAGTAATATTTATTAACTCTTAACAATATAAATTTGAGTGACTCATTAACAGTTTATTAACGATTACAGAATTTCTATTATTTCGGAAAACTTAAAAAGACTTTTATTATTATATTTTACCTCAAAGAGATTAATGTTATTATCTCTTTTTTTCCATGTTTAATACTCCCTCCGTTTTTATATAAGTGTCGTTTTAAGGGTAATAATTTGTTTCAAAATAAGCGACGTTCTCTTCTTTCAATGATCCACTTCTTCATTCTTCAGTCTTCCCTTCATCTTCTCTCTCCACCTTTTTCTCTACCCTGCCCCACACTCCTCTCTCTCTTTTTATCTTTCCCTTCCCCTCATCTCCTCTCTTTCACAATTTGTCTCTCTCTTAATTAATATTTCACTGTCTCACACACGTTTTGCAAAGTGAGAAACAAAATTTTTTCACCGAAAAAGTCAATTCTCTGCACACTTTTTTATTCCTTAAAAACTGTGTAAAAACTCAAAACGACACTTATATTAGTTATATAGAAACGGAGGGAGTATATAAGTTAATTTAATCCCTAATGTATGACATATTAACAAAACTCTTTCTAATGTTTAGGAAAACTATAAATACTGGTTTGTCACTAAGTTTCAGAGTTAAAACAAACGATAAGAGGATAATTGGGTAATATTTACTAACTCATTATAGAGTACATTTTAACCGGTAACTAATGGTTTATTAACTATATGGTAACTTTTGTTATTTCAGAATTATTAGGATGATTTTTGTTATTATATCATACATAGGGGGGCTCTATGCGTGTTTTGACTCTAATAATTAATGCCACCCGTCTAAGTTAAGTTTCTAACATTAGTTCCTTTTTAATTTCGATTTTGTTTTAATACCTGTTATAGAGGATTTTTTTTTTTTTAATAATTAAAATTGATTATTATTTGAATTTTAGCCATTTAATTTTAGATTGTTTTTTGATATTACCCAAGATACATATGGATTCTATTTTAGGAACATCCAATATCATGCTTCCACTTTAATATCTAATTTTTATAAACATAACAGAAGTACAACCTCATCCCTTATTAAAATGAGGAGGAAATCTTGACATTTTTGTGAAACTTCGAATTATTTAACATTTTCGAAACCACAAGAAGGTTTTGGTAATATCTGTTTCTAATCTTAATCCTATTGTAATAACTTCATTTTAAACATGTAAAATGTGAATTGAACTTATAATTTTTTTAGTTCTCTTGATGATTGAAAACTATGAGGATAATGAAAAAGAATCACATGAATGATAAGGATTATATTTTCTTAATAAAATGAGGTGGATAAATGTGCTAATTGATATAAACATGTTCCACTTCCATAATTGGATTTTAAATTTTAATCATTTTATACCAAAACTAAATTAACTTCTAAAACAAGTACATTGCAATTGATAATAAAATGATTTATCACCTACTAAACCATATCAAATTCAATTGCATAACTATAATTTTGACCTATTTGATTCATGCCCACAACAATTAATATAAATATATAGGTTTAATACAATAATCCCCTGTGGTAGAGAAATAACAGATATCCCCTACCGTTGATTTTTGAGTGTTAAAATAAACAGTATAGGACAATTAGTAAATTTCATTCATTGTTACGTTAAATTCTAGAACAATACATACCGGTTACTAATGGTAGAGAATATTTGTTATTTCTGAAATTTGTGGATGATTTTGTTAGTTGATTAAACGTCAGGGGTTGAAAAAACCCCATAAATTTACAATTTTGATTAAAAGTATTACATTAATATTTCTTTGCATAGAAGTTAAGAGCTTCCTTTTTATTAAATTTAAAATCATTTCTTTTGTCTTGAATAATGAAGGTTCCTTCCAATGACATTTCTATTATAAAATTGATCTAATTAAAATGCTTATGCTATTTACATGTTATTGCGGGTAATCTCTATTGAAATAATTTTAATTATTTATTTATTATTTAACACATCAAACTTTTATGCAACGAGTCCTTTCCATAAAATATTTTATGACCCACATTTTATTCAAACTTATATTTATTTGTAATAGTCAATATTTGACATTATTATTCTAGTTATAACTTATCTGCTATTCATACTCATTCTCTCACTCTATAAATAATAATAATAATTTTTTAATAATTTTAATTAATGATGCCTTAAGCTTACAATTGCACCAAAGGTTTACAATTTTTTCTGTGGGTTTTTTTATTGTCTACTTTCACCTTTCACATCATTTGAAATATTTCGTAAGGGTCATAATAATTGGATTTGAAAATATTAATTTACAACACACATTTCAATCCATCCTTGTTTTGTATTTTCTTTTAATCTAATTATTTTGGTTCTTTTGTTTTGTGAATTGAAATTTAGTCCTTCAAATTATAATATATATAACATTCGAGTCTTAATTCATCTTTTATGATGAAAAGAGATAAGAGTTAAATTAAAAAAGAGATAAAAGAAGTAAAAGAGAGGGGAACAACGGTGACAAAAAAAAGAGAGAAAATATAAACAAAGAGTGGACAAATTTTTTTAACATTTTAATAGGCATCCTTCTACAAAATTTGATTGATTGGATGGATTCTTTATAAATTTTGATATTTTTAAAAGAAGCAAGTGAAGTATATATCATTCTTTTTGAAGGCCAATGCTTGTAGAATGAAGACTGAGGTTTTGAAAAAGGCTTACACAATGATGTTATCATATGAAGCATCGATAAGAATTTGATTCCTTCCTTTCAAGTACACAAAATTGTTGTTTTAATACACCAAGGCGACTCATGAGAATCTATTTGAGATATTTTCTAGACTTTAATTTTTCAACAACTTTATCATGTAATGATCACTTAAGTCAAAGGATCTATTGATAGATAGACATCAAATTATACCCCCTAAATGCCTATAAAATATTGGTAACAAATGATGAGGGAGAGACCACTTGTTCCTTTTTTTTTTTTTCTAAATAATTGAGTTGTTTATCTGTACCTCAACTAATATTCAGAGAAGTTTGTTACAGTAGCCCAGCTCATAGTCCTCGAGGTAAATTTAAGCAATATACCACTTTGCACTGGCGACGGAATAAACCTATAAGTGTGGTTTAACCATTTGCAATACCCTTTGTTCGCCTGGGCCTGGGCTGACCATGAGTGGGTATTGTGTTCCAGTTGTTGGGACTTCATTTTTCCCAATGAAGGAAAAGCATCAGCTTTACTAATCTGTTTCACATCTATTTTTATCTTCAATGATACCCCTGATCATACATGTCTTTTTATCGCTAAATTTGAGGAAAGTGCATGCATATACAACATACCTCTATAAATAATAACTGGGGACCATATAAGTTCTATTAATTAAAAGAGGTACTAATGTTTGATATAGGGTGTATTTATTTACTAACATACATTTAATCAACAAAAATTCATTGTTTTTACCAATCTAATCTTGAATATGAATTAATCCACTAAATATACATTAAAACATTAATTTAATTCATTTTACTTATGTACTTAATTAATAATATCCATTTTATATAATGCATTAATTTAATTAAATGTATTGAACAAAAATATGCCTGCGTAATTAAATTAAATTAAATGTACTTGATATCTTTAATTTTATTAAATGTATTCAGGAATTAGATTAAAAATATCTTTATATAAACAATACAAAGTTTTTTATATTTCATAATTACAACGGGTCCCTATCTAAAAAGTGTTAAACAAGGATACTATAGTCATATTTTAATAAATATCAATTGGACCAGAATTATTTTTTTGTAACATGAAGGAGACTATAAAGTTTTAAGTTTTTCAGAAAAGTATAGTTTTATTATTTTCGAAATTATTAATTTAATCTACTAGCCCAAATCATCAGAAATTATTATATGAGAGATTATTAATTTATGAAGTATTAATTTATAGAGGTGTACAGTACAATATCATAACATTAAAGCATTCCATGTTTATAATTTTCTTTTTATATTACATAATGGAGCACATGTGATGGAAACAAATAAGAAGGTAATTCATGCGGGTGAGATATATACAATAATTTGTTTCAATTAAATTTGAAATTACATAGTTCATTATTGCAGTTTATGCTTCATGGCTATAAACTACAGTACACCACCCTTTAGAATTTTACAAAATAAAGACTTGAGTACCTCAGGGATGGAAAGAATGACATTGACGTCGTGGAATAAGCATCTGATGTAACCCCAATTTTCAAAGAGTTGAAAATGCAATCTCTTCAAAGAAGGTAATTTCGATTAGATTTCTTAAGATCGAAAGCCAATTAGGAAACCTCATACCAGAAACCCAATGTAACAAGAAATTTATATCTTGGTGTGGTTCTAGACTCCAACACCCGACGCTTCATCACATTCACCTTCACGCTTGAGCACAGGATTCCAAAAAAGCCCTAGGATCTGAATTTGTTACGCTGCCTTTAAGTTGGACAAAGTGGCTTTTGATTTGGCATTTTCTAATTCCTCAATTGCTAATCTTCCTCTCAAGTTGAGAAGCAACTTATTTAGTTCACTTAGATCGGCATTTTTCCCATCCTTCTCTCCCAATTTAAACCATGATAAAGTTAAAATATTGGTCAACTGCCACAATCCACATGACATTCCAACCAAACTAACATACTCATTAAGCTCAAGACTTTAAAGTTTACTAATTTTATAATACCTCTCGACAACTTCTTTAAGTTCGTCACATCTCTTAACTTTTAATACCAACAAATTTCTCAACATCATTATGGAATTAGGGAGTTTCTTAAGTTCCCTATTATAAGACAAGTTGAGATAATATAGACGTTTTAATTTATCAATTGACTTCAATACATTAATTTTTGATATTAGAATTACTCAGAATTTAATGTAGGCAAACATTTAAAACTTGAGAACAATTGTTTATAATTGGACTCATTGAAGTAATCACGGTAATAAATGTTCTTATATGATTTACTCTAAGTTATGCATTTGGAATGTTCCATGATCATTCTAATTTAGAATCAAATGAAACATGACGATTTCTTTCATCAACATTTCTTGTATCCAAATTAACCAAGATACACTCAGGCTTAGCAACTAATGTTGCAAGATCATGCATCTTGGATGTCACTATAACATCCTCAAGATATGTTACATCTTGAAGGAGGAGCGAGAAACTAAATTAACGAAATATTTATTATCAACATCTTCAAGAAATTAGCCTGTGCTTGGTAATTGAAGAAATCCTTGTTCCATCCAAAGATTAATCAATGACTCCATTTCTATCTCCAACAAAACTCCTTCAGCCATTGTTTTTTTGGTTGCAAGAAAGGTAGTGAAATAGTTTGTCAACGGATTAATGAGAGAGAAGGAAGGCTGGAAGAGTATAAGAATAGGATTAATAGGTTGAGTTGATAGTTGATTATCTTTCTCATGGACGTACGTCAATTTGAATAAAAAGAATAAATATAGATATTAAAACCGGCTTTAGTTAAAGAAGGACGTTGCTTTATTCCAAACATTACTTTGATATCCAAGGTATAAGTATTTCTTAAGCAACGGCAATATGGAGATGGAATAAAAATTAAAGGTCATGGCCTTTGAATATATTTGATTACACCAAAAATGCAATTGAAGAAATCTGGCTGAGTTGGCGTGACTTCATTACTGAGAATGGTTTATTTGACGAAGCTGGGTTTATCTTAACATGCTAAAGATGCAATTCAATTGTTTGAAGGAATTTAAAACACAATGGAGAAAGTAGATGAAGAGTGAGCCTATCCCTATAGGGGGGGTTTGGATCGGGGGTATATAAGATAAATGGGATAATCTTCGTTTATTTTACAAGATTTTGGTGTTTTGTTTATAAGTAATAAAATATTACGGTAATCTTTTATTGCAAATAGTGTTTACTGTTGGTAATATGAGGGGTAATCTGATACCCTCCCCCACCCCTAGAATTAAAACACTACTGAGGTAATCTGATTTTTCTACCATTTTTCCCTTAATTAAAAACAATTTCGGATACAATTGCCCTCAAATGTCTATCAAATAACAATTACCCTAACCCCCTTATATTTGAGAAATTAGCTAAAACACCTCAACACCACAAAAAAGTTTAAAAGTTAATAAAACACCCTCAGCCACCCAAGACCACCGCCAACCATGACTCCCACCGTCGGCCGCCAACATCAGTCATCGTAATGGTGCTCGACCGACAGGATCTAACCGGTTCTGTGCTGATAAGGCCTTTTATCCATGACCTAAAACGGCTAGATCTGGCGTTTCTATGGCTGTTTCACGGCCAAAGCTGTGGCCGTGAAACGACCACAAATTTGGCCATGAAATGACCATAGATCTGGTAGTTTTCCAGCCATTGATTTGTGATCCATGGCCATTTCCGGCTTTGTTGACACACGACTAATCATATATGACCAGTCGTGCGCCATTCCATCGACTGTCGGCAATGGTGGCTAGCTACCGACAATGGCTTAGGGTGAGTTTGCTACAAATTAAAGTTTTATATGACTGGAGTGTTTTAGCAAAATTTCAAATGTGGAGGGTTAAAAGAAATGATTCAAAAAATAATAATAATAAAAAATATTATTATATTAACATTTAAAAATGAGGGTAATTTAGTAATCTATATAACATACCTACCAATTTATCCTCTCAATCAAACATATTATTCACCAATTTATTCAAACCAACCAAATACATTTTCTAAACATCCTAGTAATCTAGGTGATCTTTCATTTTGTTAATATAATATCCCTTATAATAAAATATTATATGATCCAAACGCCCCTATAGTAGTAAAAAAAACTAACCAACATGGCTGAAACGTAATTTAATTTTTCTTTTTCTTTTTTCTAAAAGGGGTGTTTTGTTATTTCAAAATAAATTTAACAATCAACTAACATTTTATTAAGTTAAAGGACCAAAACTCTAGTATTTGAAATGATCGTTCCTAAACACTAGTAAACTAAAAGCACAGAGACTAAAAAGGAATTAAGTCCAAAGAAAAGGATAAGGAATGTTTAAAAAGAAGGGTTGAATTACAAATAAATCAAAACCAAAAAGAATATAGAATTAGAAGCAGATGAGACAAGGACGAGGCCTAGGAGGCATGCATTTGTATAAATTAAATGTTTTACACTTAAAGGAATTTTTTTTTTTTTTAATTTGTGGTAAAACCCCATAGGTTTCACTAATTCATTAAGCACCTGCCGGTTTCATAAATATTACACTAAAATGACATTTGTCACATTTGATCAGCTTTTCCTTAATAAGAATGTCATTAAATATGACTGTGAAATGACCATTTTGCCCTTATTAATATAAGTATCCGTTGCGTTGAACTAAACCATTGCTTTGTGCTCCAACAGCCCATTCATGTGAATTTAAAAAGGGTGCCCACTTGTATGAAACGAGAAAGAAAAATGGATAAATTCATCCTCCAAAACCATCTTTATGCACCACAAAACTCAGTAGAGTTTCACAACACAATAGTTGTAGCAGAGGCATTGTCAAGAGGCAACTCATGTCAAGAAAGGAGTGAAGTGAAAGAGGGTGTTGTGAAATTCAAAAACAGATGGTGCAAGTGCAGCAATATAGCATGTATAAAGATCCCAAGGACGACAAACAAGCTACCAACAAAGGAAAATAAAGAGACATATGAATTATGATGCAGAACCTAGCAATGTATTTGTAGTAGTGATAAACCTGGATACATTCAATCTGAAATCCAAGCTGCAATTAAACAAATCAAGAAGCATATGAATTTGGCAACTTTATAATGTCTTTTGGCAACTTCTTAAGACTACAATTACGGACTTTTAATACTTGCAAATTTCCTAATATTGTTATAGAATTAGGGAGTTTCCTAATATTTGGGTTACAAGACAAGTCGAGATAGCGTAGATGCTTCAATTTACCAATTGAATTTGGTACATTCTTAATATTAGAAAAACTCAAATCTAATGTACGTAAACATTTAAAACTTAGAGAACATTTTTCTGCAATTGGACTTGTTCAAGTCACTATTGTCGAAAAGTGAACCACTATGGAGTATGAATGTTCTTATATGATTTGCCTTGAGAATGCAATTGGAACGTTCCATGATGACTCTAATTTAGAATCAAATGAAACATGACAAATTCTTTCATCAACATTTCTTGCATCTAACTTAGCCAAGATACACTCAGGTTTGACAGCTAAAGTTTCAAGATCATGCATCTTGCATGTCATCATATATTTATCGTATGTTACATCTTGAAAAAATGAGCGATAAACTAAATAAACAAAATATTCGTTAACAATATCTTCAAGAGATTGGCTCGTGTTTGGTGATTGAAGAAATCCTTGAGCCATCCAAAGATTAATCAATGACTCCTTGCTAATCACATAATCTTTTGGAAACAATGAACAATAAGCAAAACATTGTTTCATGTGTGAGGGGAGATGATCGTAACTCAACTTAAGTGTTGGTATGATATCATTTTCTTCTTGTTCATCTATTTTTATCAATTCATCTTCCATGAAATGCAACCAATAGGATTCTGTATTATTCTCATAAAGTAAGCGTCCTATTGTTCTTACGGCAAGGGGAACCCCAACACATCTCGCTACAATATGCTTTCCAATTTCTACTAGTATCAAACCTTTTGGTTCAATTCCATCTTCAAATGCCAATTTTGAAAACAAAGACCAAGACTCATCGTCAGTTAGGCTTTTCAAATCATAAATCATAGAAGAACTGCTAGTAATTTTCGCTACTTGTTTACTACGGGTAGTAACTAGTTCCTTACTTCCTTTCACATCATTCATTAGTAGTGTTTTCAATTGAAAGCACTTCTCACGATTCTCATTCCATATGTCGTCCAAAACTAGTAGATATTTTTTTCCATTAATTTTTTCACAAAGGATTTGCAGCAACTCTTCAAAGTTAAGATTCTCAAATCCTACTTTTCCAGCATTTATAGATTTTAAGATGTTATTAACAATTTCTTTTACACTAAACTCATCAGACACACATATCCATATTTTTAAATCAAAATGACGCTTGACCTTTTTGTCATCGTAGACAAGCCGAGCAAGTGTGGTTTTTCCTAATCCACCAATACCAACTATGGAAATAACAGAGACATGCTCATCATAATTTGAGTCTAACAAAAGTTGTATGATTTTATTTTTATCATCTTCCCTCTTGATAACATTTTCAACAAGTTCAAAAGAGTGTGTTTCTCTTTTTGTATTCAAGATTGGTTTCTCAAAGTGATGCTCAATAAAATGGAATTGGGTCATATATTTTGCAATGTCATCTAGCTTCTCCCTAACAGTTTTAATTTTATGAGCCATCTTAAGACTATATGCAATTTGGTTAGATTTGGAGAAGAAGATGCATACCTCTAATTATTACCCGTAATCATTTCTCGCTTTATAAGTTCGGTGGAGAGATCATCCAATAAATCATCCGCTTCATAAAATACAACTTTGAGCCTTCGAAGCCATTCTATCACCATTTCATTCTTCTTGCTATACTGCTTCTCAGCATCGAGAAGAACCGCCTTGGTACTACGAACGGTTTCCGTGATCTTAGTGATATTATCTTGAACTCCCCAGGCCAGTCCAATTTCTTGGAAAACATGGGGTCCCAACAATTGCAAGAGTTTCCCAGCCATGTCAAACAGAATTCCATTAGCCATTTTTCTTTTGGATTGCAGTAAAGCTAGTGAAATTGTTTCTGAGCGATGAATGAGAGAGAAGGAGGAAATATTAGAAGAGTGTAAGAATATAATTATAAAGAGGTTATTATGTTTCTGATAAGGCATGCTGAATTAGAACAAAAAGAATAAATGTTAAAGAAGGTTGCTTTATTCCAACATTACTTGATGTATTTTTGATATGCTGAGGTATAATTTTTTATCAAGCAACCACAACATGGGAATGAAATAAAGCTTATGGCTTTTGAATTGGTCATCAAATTTTCTCAAATTTATTATCTTTAAAATTCCTAATATTCTCTCCAAAGGTGTGTTATATTGTTGGTCCTGAAAGTCCCACATTAGTGAGAAATTAATTGGTCTGCCTAATTTGTTAGTCTTTTATGTTTTTGCCTGTATTTGAAATGGGTTATGAGCAAATTTATCCAAGTGGCAATATACAGTGCAGGAATTGGCTGGAGATGGGACAAAAGAGTTGAATCTTGAAGGAAAAGTTGTGGTCCCAGGATTTATTGATTTTCATGTTCATTTGATTTGGGGAGGGCTGCAGGTTTAATTACAAACTTGTTTTATCAGCAGTATATTTTTTCTCAAGATTTTGTAGAGATTTTCAAAGAGTACTCTGCTATTATTCTTTCAACTTTTATTTTGACTAACTGGACATTGATTAGTTGAGGGTCAAAGTCTAGTGAAAAAGCATGTTGAGATTTATATATATATATATATATATGTGTGTGTGTGTGTGTGTTGATGCTGGATTTTGACACCAACTATTCGCATGTGAGAAATGATAAGTGGGCTTAGAAGTCACACGTGGTTAGGAAATTTAATAAAGGGTGAAGAACAATGTTTAAAGTGGTTCGGATGCTCAAAGGCGAATCCTACGTCTACTGATATTGTATTAATGAGAGTAAGGTCAGGTTGTGTTCAGCGAACTGAGTTACAACTTAGAGAATACAAGAGAGAGAGAGAGAGAGAGAGAGAGGATGCTATTCTAAATTGAAATTAGTCAATCTCGTAAATGAGAGGGGACAACCTCTATTTATAAGGGAATGGATCAAGGTAATGATTACTAAATCTGCAAGTGGGGTGGGTATCGTGCAAATCCTTTCCCGCGTCCCATTGTTCACCTATCCGAGTGATTTCTTCGACTTGTGCATGGATTGGACACGTGGACGGTTTCCAGCCATTTGCCAACCTGGCGTTCACCCACTGCATTGGCAAGCAGTGGCGGACCCATGATTTTTGCCTAGGGGAGGCCTCTGTGGTTCCGCCATTATTTGTCAAACAACTAGTAAAAAAATTTAAAAAATCACCAAACCTTAAGCAAAAGAAATAATATAATATCAATAATCTGAAATAAAATAACACAACAATACAATACTTTACCACTTGAATAAATCTATAAGAAGCAAAACCTTGAGCAAATTATGTTGAAAATAACATTCAATTTACGAGAAAACACAAGAAAATTTTTAAGTGGGAAAACCTTTTCAATTAAAGAGAGCAAAAGACCACAGAAATCTAACGATCCACTTAAATTCAATATAATTAAAAGAGTTTACAACAATTACAATTCACCAAAAATGTTCCACATAAATTTCTTATTTCTCCTCTTTTTTTTTTCTTTTTTAGTTTTTTTGCTTTCAAAGATTATAATATAAATTTTCATGACTTTGATCAAGCCTAGTCTAAGCTAAAGTCAACCAAAATTTAAATTAAGTCAATATTGCCTTGACTTTTAATATGAATTAATTAAAAAAAGGAAAATTTTCTTAGTATAAACATATATAATAACCAGTGGCGGATCCAGGAATTTCACTCGATGGGGGCAAAAAATAAAAAAAAAATTTATGGGGGCAAAATGTCAAAATCTTATAGGGGGTAAAATGCAACTAAATATAAATATTTATATAATTTGAAGTTTTTTAAAGTTTGAGTGGGGGCCGTGGTCCCCACTCGTCATTAAGTAAATCCGCCACTGATAATAACTCAAACTTCTTTAATAATTTTGAGTAGCTAAACGGTGACATTTGAAATGTAGGAAAGTGGCGGTTGAAGGGTGAAAAATAACGTTCAGTAAAATATAGTTAAGGTTTAATTCGGGAAAGCGAAAACATTCTTAAACACAAAATAGAAAACAAACTCACAAGATCCATGTCTTTTTCCATTAAATTAGAATAAAAAACCTCCAAAAAATAAGCATGATTCAATCCTAAAATAAACTAAAATGAAATGAGCAATACACATACCTAAAACTGAGAAAATAGAAAACGAAGCTAATTGTGGCACTTGATGAGTGAAAGCTTTAATAATTTCAGTCGTTAAAAGTTTTAAGATCGAATAACACAGAGAAAGTGAAAGAGAGAATAAAGAATTTTATAGATAAAATCATAAAAAACAGATGCACGTAGAAAAGAGTGGAGAGAGTTTTAAATTTTTAATATGATGTATGCGTGAAATATATATATTAATAGCGAGTTTTTTATGAGTCTAGATATATGTATAATATTTCTCTTTTTTTTTTTTTTAATCTGAAGATAGACTTTTATATATATATATATATAGAATTATTTTATAAGCCTATATAAACAATTTTAAAAAAAAATGTGAGGGTCGGGGCTGGGTTCGCCCTTGTTGGCAAGAGCATGTCACTCACGTCATCACGCGACGTAGTTGCATTTGAATAGTCGTGGAACCTTCTTAAGTTCTTACCACCTCATGCGAACAAGACTCTGCGTCAGTTCTACTTTTTTAGACATAACAACATGCATTGTTATGGCTGTGAAATTTTTTTCTTGATGACTTCTACTTAGTCAATGTATGACCATTTTTCCAGTATACTGAGAGTAGACATGTGCTAATATTCTTGTTCAAATGACAAAGTCGTCTCTTTGTTCTGTCTGAGTAAGTTTGAATCTTAAGTTTTTAACACAGGCTTTCCCCCTATGACTTCTAAACCTGATTTCTCTTACATAAGGAACTCTGAAGTAGCAAGTTTGAATCTTAATTAGGATTTTTTTTTACACCCTTTTTTCCCCCAATTTCTTAATTTCAAAATTGAAACTTGTTTTCTCTTCTTCTGATTCAAATTCATCCCATTGTGCAATTACATTTTTCATAATTTTAGTATTATATATTTCTAACAAACAAATATTTAAAATAAAACTACAAATGGGCTAATGATTATGAAATTTTAAGTTATTTATAATGAGGTTAAATTTGTCAAAACAAAAAATATGTTTAAAAGTAAGAAAACTAATCAATTAGCTGAGGTCGAATTAATTGTCTGACAACTTCTTGCCCTAAATAAAAAATGGAGGCCCAAGCCCACAAAAAGCACGAGAAAGAAATTTTTATATTTTTATATTTTACATTCATTTTAGACTTAAATAACTCCTTTTTATATTTATTAAAAATTCACAAGTTATTAATCTTTGACTAAAGATGTTAAATTACCTAGAATAAATAAAAATATGCAATGTTATGTAATTAAAATTGTGACCTTAATAAGAATATATACAAATTATAATAATTAAATTTATAGCAGTAGTCGGAATAGATACAAACAATAACGATAAAATTTGTAACGTTACTCATAATAAATACAAATAATGTAATTCATTAATATCATTTTGTCTTGTCAATTTTATTCATTAATATAAAAAACTGATAGATTATGTTATATATAGATTAATAAAGAATTTTGAATAAATTTGACGTCATAATCTTTAAAGAGATAAAAATACATTTATTTTAAACATATAACAACTCTTATGCAATACCAAAATCAATTTATTCCATATACTCGTTATCTATTTTGTTTTGCAATTTGTAGCACTTTTAGCTTGCCATACTCCTGTATATAGAAATGTGTACATGATATATCTTATTTATTAAAAAGAAGAGAGACCAAATCAGATATTTATATACCCTTAAACATTCATCCATAAAGTATGCCTGAAGGGGAGAAATTATTTTTAGTTAATGAAATGTAAAGCAATTAAGAAGAGCAAAAAACTCAATTACTTAAATTCTCTGGAGGTGAATCATATCAGAACAGAAAAGAGAGTGGAGTCTCCTCAAGTCTTTCTACTGCATGCCATTGTCATTGTGGATATATCAGACTCCCTCTATATATGCTACAATGAAAAATGACAGATAACCCTTCTGTCGAAACTTTGAAATTAGAACATCCTGAGATGCTGTAGACTTGTAACTCGTTCAAGTCCTTTAGGAAGAGAGATCAATTCAAGGTCATCAAATTCTCTTGAACGTAGGCTGCTAAGGGCTTCCCATTGCTTGTCATACTCTTCGTTTAGCAAAGACTTCAATTCGCAACTTTTAATACTTGGGAGACTTCAATTTTGAGAGAAGGCCAGCAGAGGTGTGTTGGTTCAGATGGTTCTACTGGAGAGTGATGAAGAAGAGAGATTTTGCAAGGGAAAGAGACGGCTGTAACATGGAATGAGTGCTGTTTTCATTCATAGAATATGGATAATATATGTACAACACCAGTCCACTGTTTTACCTAAAACAACCTAATGCAGTGGATAATTTTTACACATTTGAATTTGAAATAAACTTACATCAAAACATGTCTTAATCACAACTAAACTTAACTAAACATGTCAC